AGGATGACTGGAGCGTTGTCGTTCTGATCCAGAATGAACACGTTCACTGTGACGTTGCTGCTCAGTGACGGAGTTCCAGAATCTGACGCGACAACTTGGAACTGGAAAGTTTTCACTGTTTCAAAGTCGAAACTTTTTAGTGCGGAAATTTGTCCATTATCGGAATTGATATTTAGGAAAGATGACGTCACATCAGTTCCACTCCCTCCTCTCGCAATATAATATGAGACAGCTGCATTTTCATTCATATCACTGTCCGTTGCGCTCACAGAGAATACGGGCGTCCCAGCAACATTATTCTCTGACAGATAAAACTGTAATGGACTTTGGTTGAAATTCGGACTGTTGTCATTAACATCTGATATCTGAATGTTTAGAATTTTAAATGTCGATAAGGGAGGTTCACCACAATCAGTGGCTTTTATTATTATTTCATACTGTGGCACCTGCTCTCGATCTAATATTGCTTTAGTAACAACTGAATAAATGTTTTCCTTATAGGAGGGTTTTAACTCAAAAGGCACGCCTTCGTTTATGCGTAAAATAACTTTTCCATTAACGCCAGAGTCTTTATCCGTCACACTGATAAGCGAAACAACTGTACCAGGTTTTGAATCTTCAGACACTGTATTTGAAAGAGATGTCACTTCTATTTCTGGTGGATTATCGTTGACGTCTTTGATCTTTACAATAACTCTACATCTTCCTGTTAATGGAGGTTGCCCTTTATCTGATGCCTGGACTTCCAGTTTATAAATCTCTGATTCTTCAAAATCCAATGGCCCTTTCAATTTAATTTGTCCGCTAAAACTATTCAGTTCAAATATCTCGTATATTTTACGTGCGAGTGTTTTGCTGAAGCTGTACTCTATTTCTCCATTACTACCTTCGTCTGGATCCGTTGCATTTACTTTCGTAACAATAGCGCCAATTTGAGCATTTTCATATATTTCTGCTTGATAAGTCTCCTGACTAAACATTGGACGATTATCATTAATATCTAGAACGATAATGGAAATATTCAGTGTGCCTGATCTCGGAGGTTTACCTCCATCAACTGCTGTAACAAATAACACGTGTTTATCCTTCTGTTCTCTGTCTAATGATTTCTTCAGCACTAAAAATGGTATTTTATCTTCATCGACGTGAGTAATATCTATTTCAAAGTGATCGTTTGACGTTAATGTGTATGTTCGGATAGAGTTTATTCCAGCATCGGGATCACGGGCCGTGTGCAGTTCGAATCTCGTTCCCGGAGATGAATGCTCTGCTATTTCAAATGTCTGAACGTTTTCGGAAAAACTAGGAGCGTGATCATTTACATCAGTGATTTCAATAATGACATGGTGCATTTCCAGAGGATTTTCGACAAGGATCTTTAGTTCCATTACACAGGCACCACTACCGTGACAGAGCTCCTCCCTGTCGATTTTGTTCCGGACCTGTAAAGCACCGCTGTCCGGATTTACCTCAAAGAACGTCTCCTTAGATCCAGAAACAACACGGAAACGTCGATCAGTCAGTGACATTCTGTCCAAACCCAGATCCTTTGCGACATTTCCGACAACAGTTCCTCCTTTCACCTCCTCCGGAATAGAGTATCTCAATTCACCCAACGTCTGCTTTCCGAAAAAACCCAGTAAACACAGACAAAAACCAAACCAGCAATAGTCAGTCGGTCGTCCTTTGCTCCCCATCGTTATCCAACAGCATCTACACAGAATTATCTCACTCGAAAGATCAGATGTTTATATTCGACCACCACACGGTTCGACTCCTGTTCTCATACCAAACGTTTGTTCTGCTTCGAGGCTCCAAACAAAAGCTTTTTGAGGGGAGGGACGACGACTTCTATCGAATCCTTTATGTTATAGTGACACCAAGAGGACGAGTTATTTGAAACAGAACTAAAGCAGAATACAATTTGCTCATTTATATTTTGTCAACAAACTTTCTGATTGCGATGAAAATCAAGAGCATAGAAACGATTCTAACCAAAATAAAAAGAGCTGGTAGAAGTATAGCTGTATTTTATTCTCATAATTTATATTGTCAATGCTGCTACAACTACTCTGATTAAGTATCATCATTTGCCACGTTTTTACGGCACCCATTTATCTACTCACTCTATTTTCTGAAGCAGATGAATTTCAGTACCGTGGACAGCGGCCACTACTCTCCACCTAACCCAGCCCCTGAAACAATGAACTCCGTGCTCACAAATTAATACTCAACAAATTAATAACACCACAAAGTCAAAACAGGATGATTGGAATTGTATTTTGCTGATCAGTGTAAAAAACCTGTTACCCACAGATTGCCAAAGGAATCTGACATTTCTATGAATATATGTTTTGCTGTCATTTTAAATAGGAGATTATTATGAATTATATCACTTTGAAATATGCCCGATAGTAATAGTCCCCACAATGTGCAACAATATGCTGACAAGAATAATTGTCAATCACAACCTATATGAATACAATCAAACATAACCTAACTGGAAAACAGAACAACAATCAATTAAATCACAATGTGTCTCATAGGGTTTAACAAGGTGCGACATCCTCTCACCTTAACCCTCAACAAGAGTAAAGTAAAAACTACCAAAAAACCCTTTTAACAGGCAACACAGGCAACATGAAATACTGTCACTGTCTCTGAAAGAGAGCATTACTCTTTGTACACATGTTGTGATGCTTCTCCTTTTTTTTGGAAATGGTACTGTTTATGCTCATTTTATTAAAGGGCATTTGACTTATGTTAGTCCAAATAAGTACACCACTCTAATTAAATAGGTGTTTCTCATAAAATAAGTGTTGAATTATTGAAGTCTTACCTCACCAGATGTCCCTCTCCTGTCAGGCAGCACTAGAGTATTGGCATGGCTTCCTGGGACAATAGTAGATCCTATACTCATCCTGGGTCCAACTAACATGTAGCGTTTGTCTCCAGATCTGTACTGGATGCTGTGACACAGTGTCCCATCATAATT